AGGAACCCACACGGCTCTCAAACATATAGTGTCCAGAAAGGTCAATGACCAGAGGGAGAGGGCTGAAGGCACCATAGTTCCAAGTCCAACATTAAGGACAGACACAGTAATACCTACAACTTAAATATAAAACTGAAGAAAGAGCTCTTGAAGAAAAAAGTCTGGGACCAGGTTACAGATTCTGGCTCTCCCCTCTAATTATTAAGCCTGATTCTGGAAATAGAAACCGGCTTAGCTGTAGGTGCTGCTATACGTATATATTCTGAAGCATTTCTAAGAACTTCTAGAAATATAGATTTGATGTGATGGGCCTTAATAGCTTGTTTCCTTTATTTGTGCCATTTAGCATTTTGGGGAAATAGGTGTGAATTTTCCTTAGAAAGAGCAAATCTATAATCAAACAGAAATTTCATACACAAAAAAAACCCAGAAGACACGTGACAAAAAAAAATATATACACTACCTAGCGTCTTAGCTAGAAATATGTCCAATGTCTGGTATTATATCAGTTTAGATAATTAACTTGCCTCCAAATTCTGGTTTCTGTCCTTCTCGGACAGGCCTAAAGCACTTTGTTGTATTTTCTCTTATTTTCATTATCTTTCATCACTAAAATCTTTCTGTTCACATTCAATCTGAGCTACGCAGGCATTATACAAGTCATACTGTATTCTGAAATACCATATAGGTCAAGCAATACAGAGTTGGCAAGAGGCCTGTGGTCAGAGTTACAGTTAAGAGTATCTGGATATTCAAAACGTTAAGCAATATATTTACCACTTTTCTATAAAGTGGTATTTCTGGTTGAAAACACAAAAAACAAATCAAGAAAGTGTCATTTAGGAAAGATCAGATCACTGGCTTCCTGTATTAGATTGAAAACATTCTGTTTCTAGCAAGGGACTATGTTTTCATAGCCGCATGTGTATATATGCATATTTTCATCCACATCTGCAGAAGAATGGAGTCATAAAACCACCAGGTTTCTATTGGCCAGCACTGTGGTCTGCAGGCAGTCAAGATAAAAGATAAGTTTCTAAGTCATTTCTCTGGTGCTTGACCATTATCTTTATGTGGTTCCTGTCATATATTACATATATTAACATAGAAACTTGTAGTCACTACAGATATAAACCACCAAGCGGAATTTATACCTCACAACCACTAACAGTTTCATAGAAGAGATAACGAGCCTTGTAATCTACACTCTACATTTATACCAATACACCTTCCCCCTTCTGTGTGCTCAATTTCCATTTCAGCAACAGCAAAGCAACTGTAACACACACTTGTTCCTATAACCTATAGCAGTGAATTTCAGCCTGAGAAACCATAGTTTGCAAGTGCCCATTGCCAGCGTAACCAAGAAAAGCAAGGTTTCTGCTACATAGATTACTTCCACTACAAGTTTTGTAAGGATCCACAAATGGAGAAAGTTTGAACACCACTAAACTACAGAAAACTTCATAAAAATTTGTAATTGGATTACTTGATTTTTTTTTTAATTTAAACAAAAATTTTTAGGAATACAGATAGAATAGGGAGATTAGCTATATAAATATCCTGGCATAAGAGTAAAAATGAGGCATGCTGTAGGGCTCAATGTTTTGGATAGTGTATAGTGCTTAGAAAGACATTCACAATGCATTTACAGAAGTATTGGTGTTTTGATTTCCATACCCCACTCAGTGGCATATTCATCCACCTCAATACAAAACTAAAGCTTACTGTGAACAGCGAATGTACATACAGCACAGAAACTGCATTCTGTACAAAAAAAGATACTTGGATAAATAATTGCCACTTCCGGGGTTTGCATCCCTCCAGCTGCAAAGCTATACCCTGATTTCACTCAGCCGCAAAGAACCACACACATACCTGCACAGAACTACTCTGCAGAGTGTACGCACCCCTTACCTCTATGCAAGTTTGTCTCTACTAAAGGCTTACTTCCCAGATCTGTGGGTGAAAGTCTGGAGGAAGAACTTCAGCCAAATTTGCAAAAACATGCACTGTATCAGCTTTGAATTTCAGTATTTTCAAAAGACCATGGTCATTTAGGATCCACTGTAACAGGTGTTGCAACTTCCTTTAATGAAAGCAATTGCAGAATCAAAGTGCTTACAAACAAAAATAATAATTCTGTGCACCCTTTGGCTCTGCCCTTGCAAAAACATATGTTTATGCTGAATTTCAATAACAGAGTACTCCTATTGACATCACTTCACTGAGATTACCTGCTATAATAAAGTTAAATAACTGTATTTTCAGCACTGTAGCCTTAGTTTAGTTCAGTGACTGCCTTGACAGCTGTTCAGAACTGCCTTGTAGAGTTCACTTCATCTATAAAGCGTTAAAACTATAATGTGTTAAAAGTAGGAATAGCATTTGTATCTATACTCCCTCTTGTATAAGCAAAAACTTCTAAATCTATGACAATTTTTCTTCATCCTTCATGACCCTAAGTTTCTCCCATAGAATCTAATTATTGATGTTCTAGTTCAGAGAATTCCTGCAAGAATTGTTTCAGGCTGTCACCCATCCTTCTGGAGATGACTGAAGCTTCAGGGTTGCCAGTGGCAAAAAAAAGCCTCTTGCAAAATGTGCTGTTAAATTCAAAACAGTGAGTTTTACCCTCCACCCTACAGTGACGTCATAGGAAGAGGAAGAAAAACTTCCATCTTCAAAAATACTATTTAAGTCATGATAGAAAATTGTTCTGTTTATCACTACAAATATTAAGTTAAGGTGTTTGGGGTTATGTAGCTAGGTTGCCCACTGTGATTTTTGATTCCTTGAGTTTTCCAGAAGTTTCTTTGGTTAGGTTGCCATTACAGCCCAAGTACGCTCATTTTATAAACTGCTCACATCTCAGACAATTAGAGATCTCCATAATACTTTCCCACTACTGATGTCAAATGTTTTTCAAGTTTTTTCATGTTTTTTCAAGTTAAAAGTAATAAATGTCTATACGCAATAAGGAAATTCTGAAATATAACAAATTTATGACTAAAAATGTCATCATGATCTTTATAATGTACTGACAGAGGAAAAAGTATAAAGTCATCCATTCACAAGACTGTATCAAATTTTTTGTTTACATATTTGAAAGGGTTTATTTTAATTATGAGTTTGCCAGAGGCTTATGGCCTGTACGAACCCAGTGTCTATACCAGTGTGCAGTTTTTCAGATATCTTTTTTGTAACACCATTTCTTCTATGATGATTCTCACTCCCTTCTGCCTCTTGAACTAGGTTAAATTCACCAATTAAGTTTCTTCTAGTACAAAAGTATTATAGAAGCAATTGAACTTTCAAAAACATGCAGACATGATGCCTGCTCAAGGGCAAAGAGATACTTGGTAATGATGGAAGAAGAATAATGAATAAAATTTGTTCTCAGGCCTTCTTGCCCATCCATGATTATTCCTCTCTACAGTTCTATTGACACAAGGCTGCTATTTGCAAAACTGCATAAACTGTAAGTGCTCCAGGTATACATGTCTGCTTTTATTTAGTGTGGAAGTTTGCATAAGGCACAGCTGCGTAATTCCTCCTCACCACAGGCATGCTATTTTTTAAAAACTTTATTTTCAAAATGGAAAATTAGACAAAGAAGCCAAAATTAACACAATCCTAGGGCTAGTATATCTGAAACCACACATAATGCAAAGCATTAACCTTCCACTGAAGCGTTCTATGGTTAGTAACAACCTAAAGGCCAGTCAAACAAAACAGAATTAATGTTGTTTGTTACCACCCTAACTGCGGAGCTTCCTCTTCACAATTATTCTAAATTTACCATCACAATACCTACTGCTGGTTTTCCCTCCTTTTCTGGTCCTTTACTGCATAAACAGAAGACACAAACTAAACAGGCTCAACTGGATAAACTAGCTTTTCCTACAATATAGGAACCAACCCAGGCAGGAAAAGAGAAACCAAATTAAATTAAATGACAAAGTTACTAACACAGAGTGGGCTGGATGCCAACACATGCATGATTACAGTTATCTCAAGAGGTGACGTTGGACTTTCAAAAGGCACGGCAAACAGGCTTTTACACCAGCCACTATACAGATTACTACTTCAAAATTCTTCTAACACACATTTTCAAAGAGACTATATAAATTCTCCAATCATTTTTAGCTATAGCAATTCAAATGGGGGATGGCAACACTGGGGGAGAAAAATCTATTGTAAATTGATGATTCCCTTAATTATTGAGATTGCAAATAATCTTTCCAACTACTGGTCATACAAATGGCTTGGGGTCGGCTAGATGAATACTGGTGTCTCAATTTTATTCATGCACATTGGCTTTAGGCAGCGGAGCTGCTTTAGATTTGTATCAGAACAAAGAAATACAGACCAAAACCCACCAGTATCAGTGGAGAGCATTAATGTCAACAGTTTTTTGAATTAGGGAAAGCGAGTAAAATGCTGCTCAGTAGTACCAGACTTTTCACTTTGTCAGTTCACCAAAAACTGGCACAAGACCCCCCTAGAAAAATGTAACACATTCATGTCCACTATTGCCAATGAATTTAACAAGAAACTGAACCCCCGAAGTATCACACAATATAAAATTCCAATAAAATTTAAAAAACCACAAAACCACAGTGTGGCAACGACATACCTTTCTCACGACAGGTGAAAATTTTTCCACTATCTGAACTATTCTTGTGAAAACCAGCTGCCAGATGAAGACCTTTTTGGCTTGCTTCATTCATAAAGTCCCCAATACCTGAACAGTAAGCATTTTAGTCTGGATGTCTTGCCACCGTATACCATGGAAGATTCAGCTCAGTGGGCCCGGATCCTGATCTGGCATTGTGACTGACATTGTATAAACCACAACATACATACAGTTCTTACTACAAAGAGTTCACAGTTTAAGTCTTCCCTTTTTCCGTTGAGCTGCTTGAATATGGACTCGTACAACACTGCGAACAGTTGCATGATTGCAGGAACAGGTAAGTATTACACACTAAACACTTTAGGAACGTAGAGCACAAGCACAACGCGTTCCCCTGCATTACTTTTTGCACCTTACATTCTCAGTCACCTCATTTTTCTGTCTCTGCCTCAACATTAGCATTGCATTAACTCATGGGTTGCAAGTATCAAAACACAAGATGAGACAACCCTGAGCATGTTTACGACTTCCACTGCCCCGGGTAAGGCTCCAGTTCCTCCAGTAAGAGCCAGACACTCAAGTAACCATCTACAGTGCAAACCACGAGGGCAGGTACGGCACCACAGCAAGAAGCCGGGTTTTCTTTACGGGACATGAATCTCAAGTCAGTGCCCCAAACCAAACTCTGCTGTGAAATGGATGTCTACACCTGGTGGTTGGCACCCAGTGTAGCTGAACAGAAATTCCTTCAAGAGGCACTGGACCCTGCCCTGCTGTCGGTCAGGCTGATACAGGCTGCAGAGCGCAAGGCTTGCACAGTAAAGTTGCCCTGTGCCGAGACCCCGCAGCCACCGGCAGGCAGGCAGGCAGGCGGGCAGGCAGGTGGCCTCTGCTGCTTCTTCCACCCCAGCTGCTGGTGAGGAGGCGAAAGGCATCCGGAGCAGAAAAACAGACGGTGGGACATGGATCAGGCCTGGAGTCGCGCAGCGAGGAGCTGCTGGCCAACCCCCCACGCATGGCAGGGCACCGGGGGTCACCCCAAACCGGCAGCAAGTGGGCCG